AGTCATATGCTGCGTTCTGAACACGTCCTTATTAAGTTCGGAAATACTGATAACCCCATTTTTCCAGATCCCTAACATTTGGAATCTGAAATCTAGCAGATTCTAGCAAGAAATCATCCAATGATCTCAAAGGAGCAAATTCAAATTCGCCAGATACTTTTGCTTTACTCATTTTACTTTATTTATGAAATGAAAACACAACGTAAATTTAGAAAAAGGCACTTTTCAAGCTGACTTCTGACTTAATATTTTATATATAACTAGTAGAAGGTTATGTTATGTTTTCAACCATAGGTAATAGATACACAAGCTTTTCAACTAACCATCATAGATATACGTTCGAATAATTATTATACATCAAGGTTATTAATAATTCGGACATAGGAGAATTAAACCACAGAAACTGTTTGTTAATATTACTATATATAATTACTAGAAAAACTTTAATTGCGTGCAATTTTTTTAAAAATAACAATAAGGTAGTTCTAAAATGTTATACTGCAATTAGCTAGTTTCTTAATTTCATTCGTTTAATATTTATAAATTCGACTTGTCCGTTTGGTCGAATTTTATTATAGCCAAAAATGCATATATATCTTTAAGAGTAGTGATCAGGCGATGGAACTTGCACGAAGCAAAAACGCAGATAAATTGAATTCTGTAAAACGGGGATAAAACTAAGCACGCGATTGGTTATAGCGTCGCAGACATCGAATTTAACGCATCTGATTGGCGTTTGTCTACGTCATCAGTGCTTCATGTGGTAGCAATCGCAATTTTGCGACAAGCCTGAGAGGCGTTTGGCACATCATAAGTTCATAAAGTTTCGAGGTGGAAGGACGCGTTTTCGCGTCTCTTAAATTCAACTTATCGACCTATTTTTTTTCGCAAAATTAGTTTTAATTTGTTCTACGTCTGAAAGGTTAATTTGTTTGATTCATATTCTATTATTATTCTTCGTATTTGCCCACAGCATAAATTAAATTGACAAAATTTTTAAAGGTTATATCTTGAAACAGACATCAGGTTTCGTTATTTTATTCGTTTTTGACTGGTTTTTTTATTACGTGTTTTTGTTTTATTTCATGTTTCATTTATTTAATACGAGTGTTCAATTCTTTTTTTTTTTTATCCATAATCCGCATATATTTTGACTTTCATTTGAGAGAAAGATAGAAAAGTGAAAAGGATTTCTGCGTAACAGATATCTATTAAAATTAATTAGTTAATCATTGTATTTGTCCGTTTACACAGATTAGTCAACAATTGAGAGAGATTTGAACTTATATCCTTTGCTTACTGAAAAGATAAGTCGTCTCCTATGGTGTTTTAGCTGTTAACCTTTCATCTTGGAGGCTCTTGTGGTTAATTAAGGTGAGCATGCATACTGTATTTTCTACACGTAGTGTATTTATTTGATGTTAACAAAGACAAAGATTCCGTATAACTTCAGCAATATATCGTGCATATTATTTACTTAATACTTGATTAATTATATCTGAACACTTTATAAGATTTCATTTTACAGGAACATTAGAAGAGCTCCGGATACCATTAAATTATGAGATTTTGGAGCATTGGTTGTAATAGTCCTCATTTGCCCCCGGAAAGTAGCTGTGCCTATGGTTCTAAAGTAAGCATGAAAGTACCTTCTTTTTTATTGGGAACGAAGACAGTGTGCTGAAAAAAGGATTTATGACAATCAACTGGTATGTAACAGTATTAGTTAAAAATAGTAAATGATATCTTTAGATAATTTCAATTTCTTAGACATTTGTAACTTGCTTCAATAGACAACTTTTAAACAACGTTTCAGAAATGGCAGAAGCAGAATTAATGTGGAACAACAGATCTTTCCATTAGTGTGCATGTTACTGATTTATATTGATTTATTCGATTTAAAAATGGTAATTACGTTTTCTTGCCTGTTTCTATATAGATTGTTGTCCCACAAATGAGAAGGAATTGCAGTTAATTTTGGTGCTACTAAAACAACCGATGCTTTTGACGTCTTCACCTTGCAACATTATGCAGTTAATTTTTGCCATAAAAATGGGAGGCAATTGGAAGTTAATTAATTTGGATGCAACCGGAACAACAAATTATCTGCAGTGGTATCCCTCCTAGATTTGGTTGGTTTGCTCATCACACTGGTAGACTGTAGAACGACACTTTCTACAATTAAGGTGAGAATACATGACTTCATTAATATTAATTGCTCTTTATTAATCTCGTTATGAAATTTCTGTTAACAATTAGCTATTGTAAACAGTATAAATTGAGGTTATTGTGTGCATCTATATCTCTTAACAGTTTTTATTTCCCACAGAATAAATTGATAATTATCATTGATCTATCTATGGAGTTTATCTATCTATGAAGTTTAACTATCTATGGATTTTCTATTTAACCTTTTTCTATTGTCTGCATCATAAATTGACGTCGTGTTATTCGTCATTTATCTATGTTGTGATCTATGGTTATGATGTATAATGGCGTTGACATAACGCTTGTTATTTTATAATTCAACTAGTTTTACTTGCTTTTTGATGCATTTTAATTTGTGTTTCTTAATTATAAGAGTAATTAACATACTTTTTTGTCCTTTTGTGCAGGTTATACAATAACTGAGAGAGAATTGATGTTCAGTTTGGTTATACTGAAATAGCCAATGTCTACATGGGTGTGGTCTTTCGTGGATTATATTCTTGATTTGATATTTCGTCTTCGCCTTGTAACATCGTGCAGTTAATTTTCAACCCATAAGAGAGAGCAACTGGATATTTATTATATATATAAATAACAAATTCTATGCTACGGGTGTTCCTCTTGGAGTTGGTTTGCCTTTTGCACCTGTAAACTTTGGAACGTTATGTTCTACAATTAATTAAGGTGAGAAACTATGACTTCATACGTCGCCATATTTAATGTTTTGTTATTTTATTCGTTTTTGACGTGTTTTTGTTTTATTTCATGTTTCATTTATTTAATACGAGTGTTTAATTCTTTTTTTTTTATCCATAATCCGCATATATTTTGACTTTCATTTGAGAGAAAGATAGAAAAGTGAAAAGGATTTCTGCGTAACAGATATCTATTAAATTAATTAGTTAATAATTGTTTTTGTCCTATTACACAGATTAGTCAACAATTAAGAGAGATTTGAACTTATATCCTTTGCTTACTGAAAAGATAAGTCGTCTCCTATGGTGTTTTAGCTGTTAACCTTTCATCTTGGAGGCTCTTGTGGTTAATTAAGGTGAGCATGCATACTGTATTTTCTACACGTAGTGTATTTATTTGATGTTAACAAAGACAAAGATTCCGTATAACTTCAGCAATATATCGTGCATATTATTTACTTAATACTTGATTAATTATATCTGAACACTTTATAAGATTTCATTTTACAGGAACATTAGAAGAGCTCCGGATACCATTAAATTATGAGATTTTGGAGCATTGGTTGTAATAGTCCTCATTTGCCCCCGGAAAGTAGCTGTGCCTATGGTTCTAAAGTAAGCATGAAAGTACCTTCTTTTTTATTGGGAACGAAGACAGTGTGCTGAAAAAAGGATTTATGACAATCAACTGGTATGTAACAGTATTAGTTAAAAATAGTAAATGATATCTTTAGATAATTTCAATTTCTTAGACATTTGTAACTTGCTTCAATAGACAACTTTTAAACAACGTTTCAGAAATGGCAGAAGCAGAATTAATGTGGAACAACAGATCTTTCCATTAGTGTGCATGTTACTGATTTATATTGATTTATTCGATTTAAAAATGGTAATTACGTTTTCTTGCCTGTTTCTATATAGATTGTTGTCCCACAAATGAGAAGGAATTGCAGTTAATTTTGGTGCTACTAAAACAACCGATGCTTTTGACGTCTTCACCTTGCAACATTATGCAGTTAATTTTTGCCATAAAAATGGGAGGCAATTGGAAGTTAATTAATTTGGATGCAACCGGAACAACAAATTATCTGCAGTGGTATCCCTCCTAGATTTGGTTGGTTTGCTCATCACACTGGTAGACTGTAGAACGACACTTTCTACAATTAAGGTGAGAATACATGACTTCATTAATATTAATTGCTCTTTATTAATCTCGTTATGAAATTTCTGTTAACAATTAGCTATTGTAAACAGTATAAATTGAGGTTATTGTGTGCATCTATATCTCTTAACAGTTTTTATTTCCCACAGAATAAATTGATAATTATCATTGATCTATCTATGGAGTTTATCTATCTATGAAGTTTAACTATCTATGGATTTTCTATTTAACCTTTTTCTATTGTCTGCATCATAAATTGACGTCGTGTTATTCGTCATTTATCTATGTTGTGATCTATGGTTATGATGTATAATGGCGTTGACATAACGCTTGTTATTTTATAATTCAACTAGTTTTACTTGCTTTTTGATGCATTTTAATTTGTGTTTCTTAATTATAAGAGTAATTAACATACTTTTTTGTCCTTTTGTGCAGGTTATACAATAACTGAGAGAGAATTGATGTTCAGTTTGGTTATACTGAAATAGCCAATGTCTACATGGGTGTGGTCTTTCGTGGATTATATTCTTGATTTGATATTTCGTCTTCGCCTTGTAACATCGTGCAGTTAATTTTCAACCCATAAGAGAGAGCAACTGGATATTTATTATATATATAAATAACAAATTCTATGCTACGGGTGTTCCTCTTGGAGTTGGTTTGCCTTTTGCACCTGTAAACTTTGGAACGTTATGTTCTACAATTAATTAAGGTGAGAAACTATGACTTCATACGTCGCCATATTTAATGTTTTGTTATTTTATTCGTTTTTGACGTGTTTTTGTTTTATTTCATGTTTCATTTATTTAATACGAGTGTTTAATTCTTTTTTTTTTATCCATAATCCGCATATATTTTGACTTTCATTTGAGAGAAAGATAGAAAAGTGAAAAGGATTTCTGCGTAACAGATATCTATTAAATTAATTAGTTAATAATTGTTTTTGTCCTATTACACAGATTAGTCAACAATTAAGAGAGATTTGAACTTATATCCTTTGCTTACTGAAAAGATAAGTCGTCTCCTATGGTGTTTTAGCTGTTAACCTTTCATCTTGGAGGCTCTTGTGGTTAATTAAGGTGAGCATGCATACTGTATTTTCTACACGTAGTGTATTTATTTGATGTTAACAAAGACAAAGATTCCGTATAACTTCAGCAATATATCGTGCATATTATTTACTTAATACTTGATTAATTATATCTGAACACTTTATAAGATTTCATTTTACAGGAACATTAGAAGAGCTCCGGATACCATTAAATTATGAGATTTTGGAGCATTGGTTGTAATAGTCCTCATTTGCCCCCGGAAAGTAGCTGTGCCTATGGTTCTAAAGTAAGCATGAAAGTACCTTCTTTTTTATTGGGAACGAAGACAGTGTGCTGAAAAAAGGATTTATGACAATCAACTGGTATGTAACAGTATTAGTTAAAAATAGTAAATGATATCTTTAGATAATTTCAATTTCTTAGACATTTGTAACTTGCTTCAATAGACAACTTTTAAACAACGTTTCAGANTTTACAGGTGTGAAAAGTAAACCAACTCCAGGAAGAACACCGTAGCAGAGAATTTCTTATTTCAGTGGAATTCAAATAAATTTCCAGTTGCACTCACTCATGGGTTGAAAATTAACTGCATGATGTTACAAGGCGAAGACGAAACAGCAAATCAAGAATATAATCCAGGAAAGACCACACCCATGTAGACATGGGCTGTTTCAGTATAACCAAACTGAACATTAATTCTCTCTCATTTATTGTATAACCTGCAGAAATGGACAAAAAAACATATTAATTACACTTATAATTAAGAAACACAAATAAAAACGCACCAAAAAGCAAGTAAAATATCTGAATTATAAAATAAACAAACAACAATTTTACGCCATTTTACATCACAACCATAGATCACGACATAGATTAACGTCAAATAACACGACATCAATTTACGACATAGACAACAGAAAAAGGTTAAAAAGAAAATTCATAGATAGATAAACTCCATAGATTCATCAATGATAAATATCAATTTATTCTGTGGAAAATAAAACTGTCAAGTGATGCTGATACACAATAAACTCAATTTATACTGTTGACAATAGCTAATTGTTAACAAAAACTTCATAACAGATTAATAAAGAGTAATTAATATTGATCAGTCATGTATTCTCACCTTAATTAATTGTAGAAAGTGGCGTTCTAAAGTCTATCAGTGTGATGAGCAAACCAAATCTAGGAGGGATCACTGCAAACAATCTGTTGTTCCAGTCTCTTCCAAATTAATTAATTTCCAACTGCCTCCTGTCGTTACGGTAAAAGTTAACTGCATAATGTTGCAAAGTGAAGACATCAAAAAATCGGTTGCTTCAGTAACATCAAAATTAACTGCAATCTCTCGTCATTTGTGGGACAATCTATATAGAAACAGGCAAGAAAAGGTAATTAATTACCACTTTTAAAGAAAGTAAATCAGTAATATTTTTATGTGGCGATATAGTGGTAAAATTAGAAATTAACTTTCACGTTGATGGAAAGGTCAGTTCCACAATAATTCTGCTTTTTCCATTTCTGAAAAGTTGTCTATTGAAGAAGTTACAAATGTCCAAGAAATCAAGTTCCTGGGACCCTCATTTACTAATTTTAATTGATACTGTTACATACCAGTTTATTGTCATAAATCCCTCCTTCAGCAGCACACTTCAGCACATTGTCTCCGTTCCCAATGGAAAGGCACTTTCATGTTTTCTTTATGACTATAGGAACAGTCACTTTTTGGAGTCAATGAGAACCGACACAATCAATGCTCCACAATTTAATGGCATCTGGAGTTCTTCTCACATCCCTGTAAAATCTAATATTATGAAAAAGTATTCAAATATAATAAATTTAGACCCCCTACTAAGTAGAGTGCATAAATAAATTGTTAAAGTAACACCGTACCCTTTTGTCTTTTAAAATCAAACAAATACACTACATATATATAATACAGCATGTATGCTCAACTTAATTAACTACAATAGCATCCAGGATGAAAATTTAACAGCTTCGTTCCCAACGAAAAAAAGGCACTTTCATGCTTTCTTTAGAACCATGGGCACACCTACTTTCCGGGGCAAATGAGGACTAATACAACCAATGCTCCATAATTTCATAATTTAATGGTATCCGTAGTTCTTCTAATGTTCCTGTAAAAAGAAATCTTATAAAGTGTTCAGATATAATTAATTAAGTAAATAATCTGCACGATACATTGTTAAAGTGATGCTGAATCTTTTTCTTTGTTAATATCAAATAAATACACTACATATAGAAAATACAGTATGCATGCTCACCTTAATTAACCACAAGAATCTTCAAGATGAAAGGTTAACAGCTAAAACACCATAGGAGACGACTTATCTTTTCAGTAAGCAAAGGATATAAGTTCAAATCTTTCTCAATTGTTGACTAATCTGTGTAATAGGACAAAAACAATTATTAACTAATTAATTTAATAGATATCTGTTACGCAGAAATCCTTTTCACTTTTCTATCTTTCTCTCAAATGAAAGTCAAAATATATGCGGATTATGGATAAAAAAAAAAGAATTAAACACTCGTATTAAATAAATGAAACATGAAATAAAACAAAAACACGTAATAAAAAAACCAGTCAAAAACGAATAAAATAACGAAACCTGATGTCTGTTTCAAGATATAACCTTTAAAAATTTTGTCAATTTAATTTATGCTGTGGGCAAATACGAAGAATAATAATAGAATATGAATCAATCAAACTAACCTTTCAGACGTAGAACAAATTAAAACTAATTTTGTGAAAACATTAGCTGGATAAGTTGAATTTAAGAGACGCGAAAGCACGTCCTTCCACCTCGAAACTTTATGAACTTATGATGCGCCAAACGCCTCTCAGGCTTGTCGCGAAATTGCGATTGCTACCACATGAAGCACTGATGACGTAGACAAACGCGAATCAGATGCGTTAAATTCGATGTCTGCGACGCTGTAACCAATCGCGTGCTTAGTTTCATCCGCGTTTTACAGAATTCAATTTGCGTTCCATCGCCTGATCTTATATCTTATATATATATATATGCATTATTGGGTATAATAAAATTCGACCAAACGGACAAGTTGAATTTTTAAACATTAAACGAACGAAATTAAGAAACTAGCTAATTGCAGTATAACATTTTAGAACTACCTTATTGTTATTTTTAAAAAAATTGCACGCAATTAAAGTTTTTCTAGTAATTATATATAGTAATATTAACAAACAGTTTCTGTGGTTTAATTCTCCTATGTCCGAATTATTAATAACCTTGATGTATAATAATTATTCAGAATTTTAAGCTTTTATAAAGTTATTAGGCAACTAACTAACTACAATTTGCAGTTATTTTGTACCAAAAGATGATATAATCTGTACTTTGTATACATATACATAATGCAGTCAATTAATTGCATTCTGTTGTTTAAAGAAAACCAAAAGATGACATAAGTAGATGATATAGACTATTTCTCATATCACAAAAGAAAAAAAAACACTTAGAATGTATTATTCATCTTATACAGGAACGTAAGAAGTTTTAGTTATAAAACAACCGTTGTGAATAAATTCACAAGCATCTTTCGTTGACATACTGGAGGGAAATTGTAATTTTCATTTGAGATAATTCAAAATCACAGCCAGTTTTTCTTTTCTTGTGCCAAAGAAGGTGCATGATTTTTTTTACAAGGGTTTTATAACTGAAACTTCATTTTTTTTCCTTGGCATGCGATTTAAAAACACGGACATTATTAAAAATACTATACCTTTTGAAAAGGTAGAAATAAATTTTAGACTTCACATGCCTACGAAATAAACAACTGTTACAAATTTCTTAATGTTTGGACAGAAGATTAAAAATTCATTGCGTTGTTACTATATGCTACCAAAAAAAGGGGTACATTATTTCTTAATCAATTTCTATTTTTGATAAGGAAGCATTTATCTCCGTTACTATTATTACTTTATTGCATTTTTATTTTATACGCTCATCACAATTCTGTCAAATAAAACTAACACTTTTATGTCGGCATTTTTAACTATACGCATCTTTGTAATATTAAGTTTGGACAATTGATTAAACTGTTTGTGAATAATATCTATACATTACTTTTATTTCTCTATTTTTTTATGTATTATTAGGGCTTGACTTGTAACTTGATTGATTAATAAGTACACAAAATAACGTATTTTACTGTGGTTACAAGTTAATCACTTTTAGCGAGTTAACATATTTTATTTCGTGCTTCAATTTATAGGTAATGAAATTCCTGAGTTAAATAAACTTTACTTATTATCGTCGATTTATCTAGGTTCTGGGTTATGGATCATAAACTATACATTATGATTAACACGACCAACGAAATAAAAATAATCTAAACTATTATAATAACTTATATAACTTCATCATAACGTTGACTTGTGGGCTTCTGTGATATAATAAAATTCAACCGAATAAACATAAATGTATAATATAGCATGTATGCTCACCTCAATTAATTACAAGAGCATCCAGGATGAAAATTTAACATCTACAACACCACAGGATACGATTTATCTTTTCAGTAAGCAAAGGATACCAGTTCCAATCACTCAATTGCCGATCTGTAGAAACGGACAAAAACAATTATTAACTACTTTTAATTAACAATATTTCAAAGGTGTCTGCTAAAATAATAGATACACAATCTACAATTCATAATAAACTAAATAGACATCTGTTACGCCAAAAATTTCAATATTTAATCCGTTTCACTTTTCTTCCTTTCTCTCAAATGAAAGTCAAAATATATGCGGGAAATAGTTTTAAAAAAAATTACACTTATTAAATAAATAAAATACAAAATAAAACAAAAAGACGTAATGAAAAACCACCTGGCGTCTGTTCCAAGACAAACCTTAACAATTTTGTTAATTTAATTTATGCTGTGGGCAATTGCAAAAACTAATAATATAATATGAATCAATCAATCTAACCGTTCAGGCGTAGAAAACAATAAAACTAATTATACGAAAAATTAACCCGGCAAGTTGGATTTAAGAGACGGGAAAAAGCATCCTTACACTACGAAACTATGAGATTATAATGTGGTACAATAAAATTCGACCAAATGGACAAGAAGTTGAATTTAAGAAGTATCTTTTTGTTATTCCCGAATTATTAATGGCCTTCATGTAGGATATACGATAAACAACGTTAAACCACAGGATAAATAAATTAATTTACACTTGAATTTATTTTTTTATTACGAAGCATCTATCTCCTCGACTACTATTGCTTTATTTCATTTACTCTATTCTCAATATAATTTTCCTAAATAAACCTAACAGTTTTTTGTCTGCATATAACTATAATCATCTTTCTTTATCAGAAATCCTATAAAAAATCGTAATGTATAGAACAAGGTAAAAATGCCCATATTAAAGGAATATACAAAATAAACTGTTAAAAATTCATTTACAATAACAATGTTAAGTGATGTAAAATCATAATTATTATCATGGACTGTTTATGCACCAAATAAATTTAGATTATTTTATAAAAATCCAAAAATTTAGTTGCTTACAAATTTCGACTCGCACTGTAACATTTCTATCTTTATCTAGTATTACAGCGCACTTTTTAATTTCACGTATCACAATTTGTATTTAAAATTGAAATTGTTTTAAATACCACTGGCGACTGTTGGTCCTCTATATAGGCAACCCACTTTACTGCAAAGTATTCTGAGCGTCAGGCTGCATAATTTTACTAATTAAAGAATCTGATTTCAAAATTGGGNGAACGTCAAAATGTTCAACAACACAGTAGTTTTTATTAGAAAAGAATCCAAATGGAAATTTTATAGATTTATAAGAGATTAGAAACCAATATCTAAAGTGTAAAAGTGCCCCACAATGCAAGGCAACCATAGCTGTTCTAATGTGTCTATAAAATTAAGTTTTTATGAATGAAAGGTCATTTAACATCGTATATTCAACCATACAAACATCAATGTAAATCAGTAAAATACTTTCTCAGAAATTATAATAAGTATTATATAATTAGTGTTCTTTAAAATATTAGAAACAATAGACAAATGTGGAAATTACTATTTAACGAAAACGAACATCAGAAATGAAGTTATCAATATTTCACGCCGGCACTGCAAAAGTTTATTTTTAACAAATTCTCAAAACTAATTTCCAAAATTAACGAAGAAACTTCTTGTTCTATTGCTTGCGACGTTTGTTAATGAATGAAATTGTTAATTAATCTAAATAAATCCTTTAAAATGATAAATATTCATTTGTGACTTTTCTTCCCTACTGAAGTTAAAATTTATCACTTACCCTTATTGTAGTTGTGTTCAGTAGACAAAACCCACTGACTTCTTTCTGTAGTGAAACAGCAAAGGCTTCAATCAAAGCCTAACTACACATGATGTCCAAAGTTGCTTCTGTGGAATAATTTGCCACATTAAAAGTAACCAAATACAACAAATTTAATTAATCAAAATAAATTGTGTAAGATGATAAACTCATTTGGGGCATTTCTTCCCTACGAAAGTTAAAAATTTATCACTTACCCCTGTTGTTCAGTAGACAAAACCCATTAACTACTTTCTGGAGTTAACAGCAAAGGCTTCAATCAAAGCCCAATCACACATGATGTTTAGAGTTACTCCTGTGGAATAATTTGCTATATTAAAAGTGATCACATACAACAAAGTAGGAGTGAAATGAATAGGTGTTTTTTAAATGATTTGATTGATAATGAATAACATGACTAAATTAATAATGAAAAATATAAATGTAATTCATTACTAATAAAATTAAATGTTTTAATATTTATTACTTTTATCTGTATACTTATAAGTAGCAAGTATTATTTTTTTATCTTTATTACAAAGACAAACATACCATTATTCTTGATTTTCAGCACAGACAGGGTCTACGTTTCAGTATTATCTAACAAACACCATGTTTTGATGATTTATCAAATACGAGTCCTTACTTGATCTGTAGAATGATATTGGTATCCTTAACCTCCTTCAACTGTAATTCAATCGTATTTAAGAATTTCATTTTTATGTTGATAATAATTACAAATTTTAAGATTATACTGCATTTTGACCAATGTACAATTTTTTAACAGGACTAATTGACATAGATAATNATATAAAGACATCCAAACATTTACATTTTATCCTATTAAATTTAAAACCCTTTTTATATGATATGAAAAACAGAGAATTTTCTATTCGATTATCTTTCTTTTGTGCAAATTTTGTTTTAGCGTAATCGGATCCTTTGCTTAATAAAAGCAATTTAGGTGTACAAATACATTTATAAATGTACCTAGTCACATTTTCGGTATTCATATTAACTCAGTTGTATATTTGTACATACTTACTTTCGTGTTTATTTAAATCGAATAAATGATGGTAGTACAACAACTGCGTATGTAAATCTTCTTCAGAATAATTCCTATGAATTTCTTTTACTTCACAAGGTAAACAAATAGGATATTTGTAAACGGACCTCAGAGAAATATCTATTGTTTCTCTAAGGCAACTAAGATCTTCGCATTTAAATTTATTTTCATGATACTTGGCTATGTACATTCGAATATTTCGAATTAATTGATTTTGAACAGATGTTAGGTAATCTACCGGGCGAACAGAGCAATTCAGGTTTGTGCATTTCTCCAAAAAACTGGTCTTGTGTGCATCTTTAACGACATTTACGCTCTTACATGATATACACTTGAATGAAAAGAACTGGACGTTTTTGAAAACAATTTCTTTACTCCATACATTATTGTACATGTGATTATTATTTTTTGCCTTTTTTAATGATGTATTATCCAGACCTAAACAGGTCGCCAATTCATAAGCATCAATCTCTTCCAGTGGCTCACAAAGACGAGTTACTACAGGATGAATTTGTTGTGCGAGATAATATTTAACATCGATCTTTAATTCATTATTCTTCAATTCATCTACGTGATACGCTCTCTGTACGTGAGAATTCCCAGTACCATCTTCACAGATCACATAAGATACAGTATCTCCTGCTTTTAGCAGTTTACCACCTTTCTTATTATATCTGTGAGCAACTTTAACATGTGGTAGCTGCAAATTGTCAGCGTACATTTTTGGATCTTTATTAAGCTGTTTCGTGATTATTAAAAGGCGCAAAGGCACCTTACCATGCTCCAAATCTTCTCTAAGTTTTCTTAAGTGTACTTGAATATTTTTAATTCGCTCGTCGAGACTGCAATTTTTGAAGATGCAATTAAGAATAAATTTGCTAGCCTCAGCAGCCAATTGTGACCAATCTCTTCGAACTAAATCCAGTCCTTTGTACTCCTGTGCTGTCACAAGTTGTCCTGATGTTGATTTTGTTAGAGTGACTGCCGCATACTTTTTCTTTTTGAGTAAAAGGAGGTATTTGAAAACACTGTCTATGTCTAATTCTATTTGATGATAAAGCTTGTTCACTTCTTGTTTTATTTTAACGCCGATTTGCATAACTTGGCCGTAATCTAAACAATTAGTATTAACCATTATGCTGTCTGTATCACCATAAATGACTTCAAGTGCCATTTTTGTGACTACATCTCTTGTACTTGTAAGAATTTCTCTTCCTTTGTAAGTAATTAATGCGGCCAATTTTTTTGCATAAAATCGTGAATTTGAAAATCCCAAATAACCGTAAATACTATTCGCTGTTAATTTTAAAGCCTTTTCACGAATGCTGTATTGCACTCTTAAATTGTTTGAAATATCTAAATTGTTCAAAAGTTTTTTGACTTCTCTACGACTTTCCACTAGTTTTCGAATTTCTTTTGGTAATATTCCTGGTGGTAATTGTTTATCCGGTAAAACTACATCTTCACCTTGTGTGTCTAGTACGGTTGTGAAACAAATGTTATATTCTTGAATAATGCTCGGATATAAAGAACTAAAATCCATTAACAAAATCAGTCTGTCATAAAAACCCACTTTGGGATCCAATACAAGGCCGCCGGAGTATGCGGGCTTTTTTCCAAAACGTACCCTTTCTATTTCATATTTGTTTTTCGTCAATTCGTATTTATCAGGTACAATATAATCATTTTCGTAAAACGCATGCAATAATAAAAATTCGTTTCTTTCGGATCTACCGCCCATCAAAGTTCTCGACAAAAGATTCCCAGTAATATTAGTAATTTCAAGAGTAAGTGGTATCACATTCAATTCGTACATTATATTTAATATAAATAATGTATCTTGCATTGCAACGGAAACTAATTTTAATAAATTTGAATAATCTTCGTAATATTTTGGAATATCTGTAGGGTCAATTTCGACTCTTTCATTTTCATTTATCTTCAAAACATTCTCGCTCAATGTTAGAAGATCAAAAGATCTTGATTTTATTAATTCCTTTGCTGAAACCTTAATGTCACAAACTAAGCGCCCTGTAAACAACAGCTGCTCATTTTTTTCTTTATACAATATATTTCTTTTTATTCGGCTAAATTTACTGAAAGTGTTCACTCTGTGCTCCAAGAGACGTTGGCAGAGAATCGTTATTTGGTAGCCTAATAAATCATGCCCAACGATAAGATCAGGATCTAATTTTGAGAACTGATTGATGAAATAATTTATTAAAGAACGTTCCGAGTCCAATTTTTGTATCTTGGTGTCTTTATAGTTTTGCACGTTCTCATAAAAATCGATGGGAAACATTTGGCCTTCGGGAGTGGTTAAAGCTAAAATTTTTAAAATTAAAACATTAATTGTCATAAAATATCTGTATAACTCAAAATTTTTCTAAATTCTAAAACATTTGTTCATTTGCTGATCCATTTAATTTTTATAGCGGATAGTAAGGGTGCAATTTAAAAAAGAAAAAAATTACACCTGATAAAAAGAAATAGTTAAAAGAGCAAAGAAAACTCACCGCAGAAATGCTTTTGAAAAGGTACATTTGGAGCTTGTTTGTTTACATAATATTCATTATTAACATAGCAAGAAATCACTACAATCTCATCGCGGAAATGTTTTGGGCTCACTACTGTCTTCATATTAATAGCAGCTACAACAAGGGGAGGAGGAGGGATATCGTTAGAGTTTTTCGCCACAGAAATATCAGACATCTTGCAATTCACTTCAAATTTACACCAACTCATACGGTTGGGAACTAATTCAGGATTGGTCACATCAAGCCAACAAGGGCCTTTGATTTTGCATTCTAGCAAAAATATTTCCAGAAAACTGCTATTTGTACCAAATACTCGCGAAAACGTTTTACCACTTCTTTTAGAATCAAGTGCTGGATATTTAGCCTGCATTAAAATCAAATGAAATATGCATACAACAATGAACTTCATTAATGCCCTCTTATATACATTACCGAATACCTGACTTCTAAATATTTAGACTTGGCAGGTACCTCAGGATCAAAGCAGTAATTTTTAAGTACTTCTTTTGATCTAAAAGAACTTATATTTAGTTCTTTAGAAATCGTATCATTAAATTCTTGATTAACATCAACGAGAGTAATTTCTTTTTGGGTTTCCTTATGCTGCAATCAAATTAAATTTCAAAAATGAAATACATTAAACAATTGTATGTTGTAATTGTATCAAGTAGATAAATACATAAAACCATACTAAACACAGTATGTAATTGGAACGTTTATAACACTACCAAGCATTATCATATTCACGGTTTGGTCTTGTTGCAATTACTTTACAATAAAAGAATACTCAACAAAATGCGAATTCAATAAAAACTTTTATACAATTACGAATAAGTCGGTGAAACATGTCGAGTTTCTGGATATTGTTGGCGTCTTTTGTTTATGTGCAAGTGTTAAGATGTCATGTTTTTATGTAATAAAGGACACGGCAACAACACTCAGAAACTCGACCTGTTGTATCGAATATCGGTCGCGAAAGCTCACGAATGATTGTGCGAATAATTTAATCAAAAAAAATGCAAAAAAAAATCTTATACGCTTTCACCTTATGAGAAATGTAGTGTGTATTTATTTTTATTTATTAATTTTTTGCTAACCAGGATAGTTGCATTAATGACTTGTCTTTTGCATTTCTTTAATAGATTCTTATAAATAACGTACCCGTGGTCTTGGCAGCAAATAAATTTTTCTGTGCATTTCTGTCAGAGATACACAGCAACTAATATAAGAAGAAGATTCCTCACTGTAAACTTTTCCAAATAATAGCACAAGTCCAGGTCGGTTTTTATCTTCAAAACCATCCCACCAGTAAAAACGAAAGATCTATGGTTAAAAACAAAAAACAGCTCCTCTCGCAGTTACAAAAAATATATTCATTTCGTTCATGATCAACAAATTTGATTTTTAGTACAAAAATTGAACTGTTCTTTTTAAGGTATATCCTTTCCTTCAATGTATAAAAGATAAAATGACCTTTCAAAAATTTGTAAGAGCAACATAAATACCATACATATTAATCACCAAATTAATTACAGTTCCAATTACACTTTTTATTTCTTAAACTTATTTTTTTAAAGTGAAGAAAAGAATGATTAAACTACTATTATCAAATTCAATACTTAAGTTTGCAACGTTAAGTGCATAATTTACTGTTCAATAAACTTTTTCACAGAATCTAAGGAGGCACCAGTTTAGGCCTTACTCTTAGGCACTTTAGACATATGAGATGGTACTACATACCCACTTAGTAGTATGAATATAAATTGTAGGGCTACCTATATACAGTTTTTGACATTATAATTAATACCTTTAAAGAAATTTTAGAAACCGTATTAAAGCACAATCATAAATTATGTAATTATGATTCTTAAATAAGTTAAAATAAGTACACAATTTACCTTTTTACCATCTTCATTTAAAACAAGTGGCAACATTGAAACATTATTGCCACCACTTTCTTTCATTGTTTCTGTTTCACAGTCATTAGCCAAAGGACCATTAAATGTTTCATTTTTATTATATTTAATATGAGTTATATCAAAATCGTACAATAAATTTTCTCGGCTATTACTAGAATCAAGAACTGTCTGACTTTCACTCAATATTACATTTGTATTATCAGCATTTTTAGTTTGATTATTATCGATGGTACAATTAAGTATGTTATCTGCTTTATTTTTCTTATTTTGTACACCTTCACTTTCTTTAATGTCATTTCCTATACATTCTTTATTTCCAATATCTTTTCTCAAAACATTGTATGAAATAATTTCATTTTGAACTTCCTTAAGAATTGTTTCTGACTGTTCATTAGTTACATTTAATTTGTTTCCTTCTTGAGATAAGCATTTCTCTGAAATTTTTACTTTTACCTTATTTGGTAAAGATATTGCATTCTTTTTCTTACTTTTCTCCTTCTCCTTAGAAGCAATTTCGATAAACTCTGAATCCAAATTATTAAAAATAACAAAATTGTCTACAACCCAATCAATTTCTCTTTCTTCTACATCTCCCTTTGAATATTGCTTTTCATCAACTACTTCATAGGTGCTGTCCACATCATTTATTTCATACTTATTTTTTGAATCGTTTAAATAAAAGGCTGCGTTTTTACCCATTTCATCAATTTTTTGCCTTTTAAGTGGTGGTTCATTTCCTAAAAAAAAAAAAAATTAGTTATCTATTAGTTGCAATTAATAAATGAATTACGGTTTACCGGTATTTTTATCCATAGCTATTTGAAAACGTTTACTATTAAGCACTAGTTGAATTACTAAGCAATATTAATAAGCAAACACACAAATACTGCAGAAGTATAAATAAAATTACATTTGTTTGGTGGTAAAGTAACGTATTATAATATGCTTAACCGCACTTTTTAACGAAAAAATACACGCCAGCAAGGAGAGGAATAGGTTAAGGCTTCTAAAATGGTTGCGATCACTCGTCCTTTATTGGTTTCATCTAAGGTTAGACCCCACTGGAATTTGAAAATAAATTAATAAAATGCGGGAGTATCTGAATTAAGTAATCCAAAATACGTAGGTATTTTAAATTCAAATTATCATTAAATAGAAAACATCGTGTTAAATTTATTACTAACAAATTATAATGGACTATTATTTCAATAACTGTACTGCATAAGTTTTCAGAATTTAATTTGAGGAATTAGCATATTCATTTTAAATTAATTGAAAATGTATCAGCATATTAAACAACTCTTATACGAATGTACTTTATCTAAGTAGAATTTAGAATCTGTAATTGAACTACAATTTTTTATTTCTTGGTTGATTAATATTTTTGAACGTATCCAATGTTCATTTTCGTGCTCAATGGATAATTGTATATCTATTGTGTTGCTATGTATCTGTGACATCGTGACATGTCCTATGGACATGTCTGTACCTACGTTCACACTGTTTGTTCAAAAATGACTATTTATGGTTTTTTACGTTTTTTCGTTCAAGGTCGACCCACGTACAGGAATTAAAATGTGTTTAATCATGTTGATTGCGTCTTCGATGTATAATAGCGGTAACAGTGTGCATCCCTGTCTGATCCTCTTCGTTTATATTTACTCTTATACGTGGTAGATCCAGCTCTATAACTACCTGTTGCTCTTTATACAAACCAAGTATTACTTTTCTATCTCTGTTACTCATCCTTCCTCCCCTCATTCTAATGTCCCGCACCTATCCGCGCCCCTCTTTTTAGGTAATGTTACTACTACGTTTCATTTATAATCCTCTGGGACTTTCCCCGTCTCGTAAATGTGACTAACTAGCTTAAAACCTCTTGACCTGCATGTTTTAGAATTTCCGTTTGTATCCCATACACAATCTTTCTTATCTCTAATATATCTCCTAACTCATGGCCTGCGTATAGGTTCCCTAAATATTCTTTCCACCTATCTGTCATTTCCTCATTTTCTAACAAAATATATTATAAGCCTCACCCGTTTTACCTACTTCAAACTTTTCTTCTCCTTCCTCACATATCCACTGTTCCTTAGCTGCCCTACACTTCCTAAATATTTCCTACTTTATAGCCTCTTATCTTTTTTGTCCTTTTTCGTCTGAGCTGTTTTTGTATTTTAGCCTTTCTTCTATTAATCCTACAATCTCATTTGTTATCCAGGGTTTCCTAGTTTCGTTTTGTTTAAGACCTAGCATATCTGTATCTGCTGACTTTAGGCACGTTTTAATGCAGTTCCATTCTGTCTCTATGTCCCTGTCATTCGTTTCTCTCCCCTCCTTTAGTATTTCGTTTGTCCTTATACCTAGCCTATCACGCGTTTCATCACATTTTAGCTTTTCTAAGTCAAGACGTCTTCTACCTTCCTTCTTTTTCAGAATTTTCAATTTAAGATTGATCTTCATAACTACTATGTTATGGTCGCTATCTATATCTGCTCCTGGGTAACATCTACAGCCCTTCACTTGATTTTTAAATCTTTGTCTAACAAGTATGTAATCTAACTGATATCTCCCTAAATCACCTGGCATTATGGTGATAAAGTATTCGTGACGGTTGAATTATGTTTATTGCAAAATTCTATCAGTCCATCTCTTCTATCATTTCTATTGTCTAATCCAAAAGAACCTGCTATTGCACCGTCTTTACCTTCACCTATTACTCTCTTGAAGTCTTCTACAAGTATCAGGTTTTCCTGCCCTTCCATTAAACTTAACACGTCCTCTATATAACCATAACTATCCTATCGCTTTTCTGTTCGCTTTCCTACGCATTACAATTCCCACCTCCGAATTACCTTCCACTAATCCTGTAAGTATTATTTTAAACTCCCTACTCCAGAAGTCTCCGGCTTCTGACCAACGGACTTCACTGATGCCTAACTATATTTAATTCTAGTCTATTCATATCAAATTTTCTAATTCTCCTACTTGCCTCATTTTCCTAGCATTCCAAGAATAACTAAATAAAAAAAAAATCAATTTTTAAATCAGAAACAGTTAATTAAAACAAAACGATTATAAAACATCTGCGTACATATTTTTTACTTTAGAGTGTTGACTACTAAATACATATATCTACTTATTTATGTATTGATTAGTATTAATTGCATTAAGAAGAAGACGTATACTAATTGTGTATTTTCGTGATTTCTACAGTTAAAGTCATGGTCGGTTATGTGGTTGTTCATTTACCTAGGTTCAATTTTTAGGGTCTATGATTACAATAAACACATATTACAAGTGCAATACATGTTAAGTCCACTTCGTGCGATTATAGCAAAATAATAATAATACTTATTAAAGCGAAAGTTTCTGCGAGGAGAAATTTTAGATTAGACGACATCGGATCAAAGAAATGATACTATTTTCCTTCGTTAAGTCTATAAAAGATAGACCGGTTCTAGCTAACGCATTATGTAGTGTAAGCTGTGAGGTGAAAGGATTTAAATCACGTTAGAGGTTTAGTGAAACAGTGCAAAATGAATGTTTTGGTAAATAACCGTATAATAAAGTATTAATATCGCATGCATTAATACATAGGTGGGATGGCTCCAGCCAAAAAAATTATTGAATTATTCAAATTTTAATTGTGTGTGTTATGTGAACTATATATTAAATTATCATATTTAGGGAAATTTGCAGAATAATTCAGTAATTAATTTAAATTTTCTAATGGAAACATCAAAGCAATATTTTTTGAGAGCAAAAATGCGCTCTTGTTTACGACATCAAGTAAAATGAATATTATTAAACTTCATTTCATTGTTTATTAATACATAAACATAACATAAAATTGAATACTATTACATTTGCTTATTTTTAAATGCATTATTTTTTTATCGTAAAATTATACGGATGTTAAATCCTTATTTATTTTTCAGGCAATTTTGATAGGTATTGTAGCCGCCACTTATGGAGGTTCTTCCGATACGAGTTCTAAAGCAAAGACATCCACAAAAACTTACAACACCGTCGCTTTCGCTCACAGTCAAAAACCTGACAGTTACTTTCACGTTACAACACAGCAAACCCCTCAATCATTTCCTTACAGTTTTGCTGCAAAACCAACATACATGACACCAGCACCTCAACAACAACAACCTCCATTACAGCCCACAATGCTGATCATAGCGCACCCCGCACTCGTTCCTCAAAGTCTTCTTAATCAAATGGGGCTTGTCCAACACATGGTGAACTATTTCCACACAAACCCTCAAGCTAAGCATCAGCTACTCTATGGAATACAGCAGCAACAACAATTGCAGCAACAGCAGCAACTTCCTCACCCTACAGTTCAACCTTACGTTCAGCATTTTCCAGTACCAGTATACCAACAATCCATGACTTCTCCATACCAACAATTCGTAGCCACACCAGCCCACTTGGCCCAACCGTCTTTAGTACATTTACAACAAACTCATCCTGCAAGATATGGGATGACATCGCATCAGGTCCAACAGGCACAAACTGTTCCGTTAGATCAGATCTCTCATTTAGCTCAGTCTGTTGCGCAACAGTATGCTTTAAATCCTGGCAAAGCTGGTTCGCCTCCTGCTATTATAACGGGATTGGAGAACTTTAGTCCGGAGCAGCAGGCTCACATCAAAGTACAACTGGGATTAGCATCTGCTGAACATAATGATGTCGCTCCTCAAAGTACCAGTTCTCAAAGTAGTAAAGCAACAAGTGTTTCAGCAAATTCATCTCCCAATCCAACGACCGTTCCTGGACGTTCTTCATATTATAATTAGGGAGTTTAATTTGGAAATACAAGTAGCACATTGTTACTAATCAAAAGACTGTTAGTAGCTGGCTTGCGTTTTTTAAATAGTTGCGTTGATCAAGGAGAATCCTGTTATTTATTGCTATCGCTTGTTGTTGATTTCATTGTTGTATTTTTATTGGTTTAATAAACAACATTCGTTGTATTGTTACATATAAAAAGGCTTTTTATTACTTAATACCAATGTTGCACTTAGGGAAAGAACCAAAAAATATTTTCAGGTTAAACTCAATTCAAACGAAATTAACTACTTTTGCTATTGACTACAATGAATAGAAGTGATGTAAACAACGTATTTATTGGTACATACGTAATGTAGCAGAAGCAATTTATTAATTAATAACCAACCGAAAATAGATAACTTAATATCAAAAATTACGGCGTTTTGGTAAAAAGCAATACAAAAAGACCTGCTACATTAAGAAAAGGTACCTATATCCCGTTTATACTATACATATTATTAAGTGGTAAAATTAAGTTGGGTATGCGACCATTTCTTTTTATTTCTCAAATTAATTTCTTAAGCCGTTAGGACGATGCAGGACTAACATAGCCATTGAACAGCTACATCATTATAGAAAATATCTATAACTTTAATCAATAGATTCATTTAAATTACGATATAATTGAAATATTATTTTATTTATATATTTCAACTACAAATAATAGTTCTGCTGCCTTGGTAAATACTAGTTCGTGATGGATAAAAATTATTAGTTTAAAAGTTTTTGCATGTGTACCATAAACCATACTAATACCTACTGTAGAAATTTTTTTTATAAAACAAATTCTTATTCATTAACTGGAACGTTCAGTATCGTCCGAATTTCTTTAGGTAAAAGTTCCACATTAAAATAAGTAAAACACTTTTACTTTCGAATAAACACCTACTAAGCAAATTTGTGGCCGTTTGTTTAACAAAGCAAGACATGGAGCAACAAAAATATTGATTTCGTTAAATGTTTTACAAGGGAACGATGCATTACAACGGAGTAAATGTGGTTGAAAAACCTTTTACTCTCTCCCTTTTTGTCGTATTCTTTTTGGTAATCGTACACAGTAAAAGTGCCTACTTAACGCACAATGGATAGATTCTAGTCTGCCGTTCACTTACACTCTTAATAAATGTTCTCATTTGAGCGATTGTTGCTTCAAAACTTTCTTCCTTTCGATTTTTAAATGGAAAATCGTTTTGCATTATTTAATAAACAACTATAATATATGTAATAAAATGGCTTTAGCTGCTGAAGGTTTGAAGAAATTACAAAAAGAATCAAATACTTAATTATTCTTTCATTCATTAATATAGTCGAAGATTGGGAAAACCAACTCCCATCTGTTCATTAAATACGATACCGCATTACAACATAACTAGGACAGTTTTGTTCTATTGGTAATTAATTGGATTATTATATTCTGACCAAACTTAAGATTAGACCTTTTACTAAACTAAAAGTCTAGATTTAAAAACATTTCATAGGATCGACAAAGCAGTAAGTTACCTACTGATGTACTAGAAAAAAACAAACCATGGAGAACACCGTCGCTCTAATCTTTTCTTTAGTTTTCTCTCATTAGTTGTAAATGACAAAAGGGATTTAACATTAGAAATGTACTGTTGTAACAAAAATGGTACATTTAACACTTTCCTTTTATTGGTTTACTTATTTGTATTTCAACCAATACAGGTAATGTTTTATTTTAAAGTTTTATTGTTAATTAGTTACACTTAATCAAGTGAATCAGCGAAACTGTGCGTTTCCACGTGCAAATATTAAAGGTATAGCAAAAGACAGTTAGTGAAATGTCGCACACACTCAACGGAATGATAATATATACTTATTAGTTATGTTATAGAAAAACTAATTACTAATTCTACAACAAGCAGTTTCCTTAATGAGTAATAATTATTGGCAGAAGGAAATAGGAACATTTTCTTTGATACAAAATATATGAAACAAATTAGAGCTCGAGATCGACTGAAACGAATACATGTGATCTGCTAGCATGATACCTATCACGTCTACAATTAATCAATTAATTTTTTCACCACAAATTACTTATATGTTTAGATGCGGGTGCGGGGGTTAAGTATATGATCTGCTAGCGTGATACCTATCACGTCTGCTAGCAGAAGTAGTATAGTATACCTATACATATAAACTGAAGTTCCAACATTAGAACGCTCTTTCCGTTGATGTTTTTTTTTCTTTTTAATGAGTCGTTAATTAATGTAATTAATACGAAATCGTTCTATAGCTTGTTATTATGCACTTGCATATTATAGAAAATATTAAACAGGAAACAAGTTATTTCCTCCATAGAAACGTCCTTGAAGAGAAAGCTGCAGATACAATGATTTGCATATTTACTTAGTCCATCAGCAGAAAAAGCAACCAAGTGCAGAAACGTTAAAAGATACTTTACTTCGAGATTCGTTTTATTATAATAATCACATTTATTGCAAACGACTTTCATTAGACGACGAAAAGTTTGGTAACTTTCATTTAGAACTTGTAATAATAAGTACGTATATAGATACATATATTATATTTACAAATTGCACCTGTTTCATCACCTTCAGACGTATTGACGATTCTAAGCAAACAAAACGAATTATTAGAAAAACTGAAGAGTTGGTAATTAACACACTGATTTTCTTTGGCCAATGAATCAGAACCTTTTTTCTCTTACAAAACTAACGTAGGCATTATATGATAAAGAATAAAGAATAGACTATATACAGATGATCGATGATGACTTAGTAAAACATTATTTTAATATAAGTAATTAAGAAAAATATTTACAATTGGTGAAGTTTCACTAAAATATTTCGTTGTTGCCTGACAGCCGTTTCTGCATTTTAATGAATTACAAAGACTGTATGTATGTGCAGAAGGGTTTACAAGGGTATTTTATCTATTATGTATACATATAGAGTATATACGTATGCAGATAATTCCATGAGCAAAAATACCTCAAAAGGTATGTAGTACTTGTCGTTTGTGAAATTAATTTTGGTGTCGGACTTTTCAAATTTCTAAAATTTCCAGGTAAAAACGTGTAGAAAGATCGGATCCGTGCTGTGACTAATTTCTGTACAAATCATAGGTCGAAAAGTCTGTAGTACATTTATCATTTAAAATACACTTTTTATTCTCGTCCGAACGATTAACACAGATGCCCAATATAATGATGATAAACAGCTGTCAGAAAACAATAAACTGCTTTGGTGAAACTTTATCTAGTGTTTCTTTTTTTTTTAATTACATTAATAAAATAGAGAATATGACTGTACTTTCCCTTCCATGGTTTTTTTAAATCCTGGCTCAATGAAAATATTTTTATTCGTTTAATTTCTATTAAAAATTTATTTGCTCTAGGATTCCTCTTACCCATACACGTTAATAAGGTAAATAAACTTCAATAAATATGCACGTAAATTAATTATGCAAATCGCACAAGTAATCAATAAAGTCTTCTTAGACAAAGGGTTTAAAAATGTTGCTTTCCCTTTCTTTCACTTTACATTCACTAACGAAGTAGTATCTGAATATAAACGTTCACTGATGATAATATAATAAGTATAATATGTATCTAGGTATCAGGTCTTCGATATTTTTCAATTAACATTCCTTTTAAAACTAAAATGGCGCAAGACGGACATCTATTTATTTTGAACTTGAAATAAATGTATGACTTTTCCTAGGTCGTATTAATGATCTTATGATGCGTTTCGACACAAACCAAAGTATCAACCTTAGTTAAAAACTGTCCCTAATTTTATCACAAATATTTAGTGTTTATATAAAATACATTTATTAAGTTACTTATATTTTAAATGTTATAAGACCTGATCGCAATTGCTGGGATATTGGTAATTTTAAATCATAAATTTTGAATTTTCTCAAGCTATATCCTCAACCTGGTATCTACCACCCCTTGAACTGTAATTGAGCTTCACAAGTATGCTATGCTGTCCAGTTTTTGACCAGAAATGATATTATAACTAGTCAATTATCAGGAGAGTTCTAGGTAGAACTGCTGTAGAAACTCGCGATTCCTACGAGTCAGTTATTTTTAGACTAGTAATTCGAAAAATTTTCCATTTTAGGTTGAAAAATTGTCAGCACCCCAGAGTTCTTGAGTGGAATAAGTGTATCATACGCTCAGTCGCGTATTGTTCTGGCTAGAACTACATACAGTAAAAACTTGCGATGCGTACGAGTTTACGTTTTGTTTTTGTAGGCTTATGATTCGTTGAATGTACCGTTTCGGGATGAGAAATAGTCAGCATCCAGCAGTTCTGGGATGGAAATGTAGCTTTTGGGAGAAAAAATATACACAACGTGGGGTACTTCTTGTTAGAACTTCTGCAGGTACTAGCGTTTGGTTTAAATATGACGCTTACATATTTAGAAGACATGAACCTGCAGGCCTTTTAAACGATCGAGTTTTCGCGAAAATGTAACAGGACGATAACTATTTAGGGACTGCCTCCAAAACTTTTCAAAACCTTTAAATTTTGCAGAACTTTTTCTAAAAATCATCAGGGAGTTCGGAACTCTTTATTTCTTATTCTTTTTAGGTATCAGAACTCCTTTTTCACAATAAAAGGGTACGATAGGAAGTTAGTATTTGGAAATTTCATTTTTTTGATTTTTATTAGTAAAAATGCACAACTATCGACGCATTTCATCGATAATTATGGAACTATCGATAGGGAGTACAGAACTTGAGAAGAAGATTCAAAATTTGTGAATTAGGGCTGCTAACTTCCTGACGATCTGATCGCGTCAGTAATTTAGTACCTATACCTGATGAAGAAGAGAAGAAACGAAATATATAGTAAGTGAGAGGTTGTTTAGACAAAAATACGTATAGCAATACGAATGGTAGGAAAGTGTACCGTGCATTCTACGGCGTGGCCGGGAAAGTCGAGCTTCTTGAGGAGGCACCTAATAGTTTAAAAAGTAGCGGAAAACACGTGCATGGAAGGGTAAGAATCGCAGTGGCCTCTCACTGGACACATACTCTACAAATTGGCCGTGCAACTATTTTAGAACATCTTCTGTGAATTGCTTTCGTTCCAGGTGCAAGGGAGAAGAATTATTGCAATAATGGTGAGTACTTATCAATTTGATCAAGTTTTAGATTGTACTGATTTTATTGAAGACAGATTTATTTGCGAATGACTTATAAATTAAAGTTGTAATTAAAAAGTGTTCGGTTTTGAATAAGTTTATATTCGATTTTTTTGTTATTGCTACTAATGAGCCAATAAGTGATTATAACCGATTGTTTTTTAAATTAAAAACTGATAATAATACAAGAACTAGTTATTGTTCAAACAATTACTCTATTTATACAGTTTTGTTAATAATGTATGCTGAACAATCAATAATTAATAGAAAAAGATATGAACTTGTGTTTCGAATACCTATCTTGTGTAAAGATTGCAGCGAAGGCTTAAAATCCTTCGCTGAGAGGTTTCTTGAGAATGCCAATCACAGCACTTGGCGAAACGTAGGATGAACGACTCGATAATACTTAACTATTATGTTTAAAAACATTTAATATACTTAGAACACACTCAGAAAGGGTAGGTACGGCAGTCAAGACGATTTTTTTTGATGATAATATTGAATAAGTGAAAATGCTTATTCATATTATTTGATGTCTAGGAAAAGCTAATAAAGATAATGAATTAGCAGAACGCTTTCATGCGCTTTTATTATATTGGTGCTGTAGAAGGTCGGATATATAATATCATTATTTATGCTACACTTCAGATGAAGATAAATTAAAGTTCATAATATATAATACTTGTCGGTCAAATGAAATGGCGTGTACTTTCTACTTTATCGATATATATAATACCTACTCATATGAGTTCTTTAACTAGGAAGGATAATCTTGTTAACCACGAACTGGAAACAATGATATTTTTTGGGATATTACCGTAAATTATAACGAATAGTAACGAACAAAACTTTGGAAATAAAGCAATATTTAGCGACAGGGTATTGAAGAACGATGAAAACAACTAGTTGGTATATTAATTTAATGAATTTCGTAATTCAAATAATAAATAAATAAACAAATACAGTAAAAAGCAATTTCATTCAAACTTTGGACGGAGCAGCATTTGTGAAACATTATTTTCATTTAAGTGCCTACTTAATTAATGTAAATTAAAAATTAAAGCATTGGAAAAAAGTTAGAAAGTTATTGTGGATCGTGATATATGCAAAACTCTTTTCAAACGAAATCACAATTTTATTAGTGAAACTGCAAACAAGAACAATTACAGATAAGTACCGAATTTCTGAATTCATCGAAAATCAAAATAAAAACAACTAAAAAGTTCAAATTAAAATAATCGGAACGCGCAGTTATTGGGAGAGTGGACCGCAAATTAAATTTTACTTTCACTTGACAAAATGTTTTGTCAAAACGGAAATCAAGTTTAAAACTAAATGAATGAAATACATAAATGCAAGTGTCCTTTCACTTATCTACATTGCTAGTGTTCATTACTACTTTTAGAATACTGTTATCAATAACTATTTGTAAAATCACCAAGAGCACACACAATTTTGGGTTTAATGGGAGAGGGTTTAGAATTGGAAGTTTTTCACAGTACGTGTACCTTTAAAATCGCAATTTTAAATATAAAAGTACAACCATACGCTTTTTAACAACACCAATAATTTTTTTACAGACTTGGTTTCTATACTTTTTACTGACAACTGGGATGACTTTGGGACAGGATGAACATCAAACCCGTTTGGAAGATATTGAGAATGAAAATTTGATTAGTGAAAGAAGATCGTCATCTGACTTCAGTAATGCTAAAAGTAATTCTGTATCATTTACCACATCCAAACCAATATCACCTCAACTTCAATTTGGCTTCACCCCTATAAAGGAATATTTTACATCGTCAACAGAAAGTCCCAATCCTTCCTTAAATAGTCTACCAAATTATCAAAATCGGGGACAAATTTTATTCAATAGCTACCAACCACAGTAAGAATTATCCTTTAATCATTTTAATACCTAATTGTAATAGAAATTATCATTTATTTTAAATTTCAGAACTGCCCAACGATATCAAACACAATCCTATCAACAACCACAACAACAGACCTATCAATATCAAATACAACCACAACGACAAAATAATCAATACCCATCACAACAACCACAAAACTATAATATTCAAGAAAGTAATCCTGTTGAATATTTACAACCTCAGGCACAAGCCCTCCAAGCTACTCAAGTAGTGTATCAAAGTGAAATAGGTAAAGCAGACCAGTATGCTCAGGTTGTTCCTCAATACAGCACTCTGCCACAACAATATCAAAGTGTTACACCTTCCCAAGTTACTCAACAAAAACAGCAAGAATTTTCCCAATACAGCACGTTTCCACAACAACAGCAAGATATGCAAACTTATCAGAATGAGCAGTCATCTAAATCACCAGCTTTTCAAGAGAATCAACAATTATCCCAATTCAATATTGTACAACAGGGTAAATTGACTTCTCAAACTGTACTACCTTCCAAAGAAGTGCAGTACCAGCAAGAGGCTCTTCAATATCAGGACAGTATTGGATCATTACAGAAACCCGGAGGTTCTAATCAAGTTCATGTACAGGACATAAGTTCTCTTCAATATTTACAACCGCAGTTGCATGGATTGGAGGGTGTACCTTACTTTGGAAATGGTCAAGTAGGTTCAGGCTTCCTGAACTCCTTCCAGGACGTCTTCAGGTTAGTAAAGATTAAATCAAAAACATTATTGGAACAGATATTATTGCTGGCTGCAAATATGTACAAATTTCGTCTCATTAAGCTGAATTCATAATTTTATATATATAACGTTATAAATATCCAGATATTTAGGTATCTAGATTTTGCCATTCAACCATATCAATCAACTGACAATAAAAGAGATGATAAGGATAAAGTGTTAATCTCTTTATTCTTTTTTATTATTAAAGTCTTTAGTGTTAATATGTTTAACCAAGAACCCACAGTTCTAGTGAATGTTTTTGTCATACTTCAGTGGCAATACCAACAATTCAGTATTTGTTAAATTCAAGTTTCGATAAATCGATGGTATATAAGAATTTTTATTGGACGTTTGGCCCATCATTGTAGTTAGTGTGGCGTGATTAGCTTGATCACATTTGGCTAAAATAAGTAGATATTCGGACTCATGACTATATCATATGAAGTAATATAAATATTCTTGCTAATGAATGATCCAAATAGTTACTATATAAATTTTAATAGATCTAGTTTAGGCACACTTACTTGTTTTCCAAGCTATTGTTGGAAGTAGTTCTTTCACTGATTTTCCTTGTTATACCATACTTAAAACGCTCTTCTGTGAATGCTGCCATCCTTCGTCTTAGACCCAGCTCCCTTTGAAGCACACGATTATTTTTTTTGGCATTATGTATACGTAACACCCACTCGTTAATACAATTTCGACTTTATGTCCGCTACACTTGCATCCCGGATTTTCACACAAATATGTAGAATACGTTGACGCTGATTTAAGAATTATTAATGAAAATAATAAGAATGAAAAAACCTTCGGATCTGTATTTCTAAATCGTTACGATTAAAATAAAAGATGTAACAACCGACGCCATTAAACCACTGATCACCATTGATTGCTTCATAGACTAATTACATTAAATTACCATAGATACATACATCATAGATATACAAATATAGATTTATCTATAGTTTAGATCATAGATAATATGGATTTATCTATGATGTAGATCATAGATAATACTGATTTATCTATGAATAGATATATAGACAGGTGTCACTACTTCTATTAAGAGTGTTGCATATGAACTACCGAAAAATTGTGCTAATTAATTATGGTTAACTGGCGGGCTTTTTATTTATATAATAAAATAAATAATATGTTTAGTATCTTATTATTTATATTTTTTTTGCAGTCACAATTTGTTTTATCAACCACAAACATCTGCATCGACGGCAATTAATAGTTACGTTCAGCCACAAGGACCTCTGCAGTATTTCACCTATTTACCTGGTAATGTTATCGAGAATTCGCCAAAAGGATTTGCTCAGCCTGGAGGAAATGTAGCGCATGTAAAAGTTATTTCACAAAATCCTCTATTTATTCAAAATACAAAGGCACGTTACGATTCACCCAGCATTCGACAATCAAATGGTTCAAAAAAATACGTTAAATACACGAATGCAGAACATTCGCAAAAAAATCCGCAGAAGTTTGTAAATTCCGCAAAAAATCATGTTAGATTTCAAAATCCTCATAATGTCCCTGCAAGACGACCGACTTCTTTATTAGATTCTTATGTTCCTTCTTCGGTACAAGTTCAATACTTTAAAGATTTTCAATTAAAACAACAGCAAGAGCAACAACTACAACATCTACAGAGCCAAGAGTCTAACCATGAGTTAAATGAGAATTTGCAACCTCCTTCCCAAAATGATCCACATAGTAAAAGCCCGTCACATAAGCGAAGCCCTTATGCGAAACGACCAAATTATCCACGAGTTTAAAAACGATTTCCCAAAGTTTTAAGTAATGTGGATAACAGCACGAACTGTGTTAAAAAGCATCTAGTCGTGATTACAATATGAATTTTCATTCTGATATGAGCTATAATTCAAATAGCATTCGCCGATTAGTACAATATTTGAAGATAATAACGATGGATAAATGTTAATACGATAACAATATGTATTATATGGATTTTTATTACCTACCTATGCTTTAGTTTCTACTTTAATAATTTCTTTATAAATAACATTTTTCTATGACAATGTTTATAAAATCTAAAGACTGTATAATTCAAATTTTAAAAGCAAACAGTTAATTTTATTTAAATTACTTTTTAATAATAATAATTTTGTAAAAGCTTTTGCTAATAAATATTACTTTTGTTTCTGCGCGAATAATTAAAAAACTTTTGTGAGTTTAGTTTTACGTTTCAGTCGGAAGAAATTGTGATAGTGGATAATTGATCAGATATTACAAAACAAATTCTTTATTTTGAAAACATTCATAGTAATTGTATTTAAAATGCGAGAAATGATATTCCACTACAAACGCTATCTTAGATGCAATAAAGCCATGTAAAATTCGAATGACACTTTTTTAAAGTAAAAACGCTGAAAAGATACAGTCATTACGATCGTAGTATGTAAGAGAACAGTAAACATATAGCAACATTAAATTAATAGGATGTTTGGTAACGTATTCACTTTGGCAATATAACAACAGTAATACACAAACGATATTCTATTTTGTTATGCATATAGGTATATCAGGCAGATAAAAATATATTATATCGTATCTCTGTATACGAGAAAAATAATTTCGGCAGCATGTCTACAGATGTGCTGGTAGTTGTATCAGAAGGAATATGTTGTCTTAAAATGCACTTTCTGTTTCGTAATAAAACCATACACACCGTACATACTTACTAAGCAACACAACATGTAATCGTCAATTTTTTTTTTTTCTGATAAATTTACAATATAATTTATTTCCTATCTAAGTTAAATTCGTCAGTTAAAATCATTAAAAATTTAATAACTGGACTATATTTACAACGTCTTTTGATATTCTAAAATTTAATCACACCTGTGTCCACAGTAAAGTGCGTTACTGTTTTATTGTAGCTATAATAAGCTCTACAGGAATTTTTCTTTTCTTTTTCTCTGCATACAGCACTCACTGTCACCGTATAAAATATTTACAGGGTGTCTGATGCAAATTCTTAATATAATCAGTCAGTATCACTTACGAGTTAAATATAGAGTAATTAAATATTTGCACCAGACGAAAATCACATATATTACGCGTGTGAATAACACATCTGCAAATAAATAAAATAATTGTACATTTTGGCATCTTGAATACATACACAAATATACTTTGGTTTTTGTATAAAACGTTTAAGTTTCATATTACAAATTAAGCTTACTTTTTGGTACATCACACTTAGTAATTGAAAATAGGTTTTTCTCTTTTCTTTTAAAACCGTTCAAGGTTAGTCTCATGAGGTCACTAGCAAATTAATTTTTGCCAAGGAAACCACCAGCTTTGGGTTTTATTTTTGATAGTTGTTCGTTTTTTCCTGCGTTTATCGGAATTTCCGATTTGTTTTTTAAAGAATTTGATGTTGTATGGATCTTCAGCAAGCTCTGGATAGTGACCTATATTATGAATATATTCAGCTTCGTAAGTTGCTATGTTGTTGTTTTTCATTAACTCTTCGATTTCATTGGCAGTCCATTCTATACTTCCCTGAAAACCATTCTTAATAGTTTCTTTCTCCCTATGCCAAGCTTTTCTAATAGCCTGCAGTTTGGCATGATGAAGTAACCTTTGTTTTTCTTTTTCCAATGTTGTTCCGTAACGCAAATTTATAACGGTATTTAGACCATGGATTTTTACGTCGAAATAGTTATTTCCACTTCCGTTTTCTTTCGCAATTTCATGAAACGTTGTGTTTACTTGGCCTTGGAGTCGCTTTAGTTGACCTTTATCGTCGTTAATTTTCCAGGTTTCTTCTTTTACAAAGTAGAAAGCATCCTGTTGTGCGCTATGAACCACAAAAGTAAACGGAAGGAGATAAGATCTATTAAATACGGAAGTATAAACGTCTCTGTATATGGCATTCGCTGCGGGAACACTGGATACTATAGCTCGTCCTTCAGAGGATCTAGACACCAGGATTCCTTTACCGAACGGAGGATCAGAAGCAGCTCCAATTTTTTCAGGAATAAGATTCATTACATCCGTTTTAAGAGCTGATTTTGGAGGAACCGATAATGTTTTGCTATCGGTCATTCTCCTTGTAAATATATGAGCTAATATTCCAGATTCGATATTATTAGGTGAAGTGTGACGTGTTAATTGACTTTTTATCGAGTTTCTAAAGTTACTCCAAAACACCGATGTTTCGGAAAGTAATGGAGGTATTCGTCCTCCAGGAAGCTCATCAGGATATAACTGAGGAGCTAAATTCTTGAAATTGAAGCCCATTATTTTTAGCCAACTTAAGTGATCTATAATGTTAAAAAACCTTCATGTATTTTAAGCAATACTTTATTTGAACAGCATCAGTCACGACACTTTCTGTTTCTTCTCCTGCTACCGCAAACAACTTTATAATGGTGCAGTGGGAGGTAGCAAAGGTGCGAGGTTTGACAGACGGAATGGTTAACTGGATAATAGGGTACGTGACGATGGTAGGACCCTTTGTAGTTATACGAACGATTACTTTTTATGAATTGCAATTACCTAATCACTTTAAATTACACAGCATGCTGGTAAGTAGGTCTACACCAAAGATATTCTTCGACAAAAGTTGTAAGCAATACCAAAATCCGCATTTAAATTGAATCGATAGTTTTCGTGTTCTCAAGTACAAAAATAGACGCAAAGGAGAACTATGTTTTGTAATATACATATAAGATATACGGATAAGAATAACTTTTGGTGTCATAAATTTAATGAAACATACAATACTTACCGATTGGGGGATTGCGATTGTGACGTACATTAATTGGGTCATTTCCATTAAATCTGTATAAATGTAAATGTGTGGGAGTAGCTACACGATCAAGTACATTTTCCCATATAGGTGACATCCATTGTCCAATAAGGGGATCATACACTTTACCGTTCGGCATGTGCACAAGAGATGTTACCTTAAATGTAGGACGTGTTATTATCAATTTAAATTGCCTATTGTACTGTATCTGATACCTGGTCAAGGATTCCACCACAAAAATCAACAGGCAAATAAAGATATGGATTGGAATCGTAAACAATATGCCCATAAGGCGAACGCATGATTTCTCTTATACCCTCGCCATATTGATTGAAAATCATCACAGGTGTGCCGCATTGATCAGTGGCTATATAATACTTGTGTCTGTACACCTAAAAGGAACAAATAACACGTGAATACTTAAGGTCTGAACATTTTCAACAAAAAAGTACCTGTGCGTATACTAAATGTCCTCTGTCGTCATACACTAACGATATTAGTTTACCATCACGCGGAGAATAAATTTGAGTAACTTCTCCAGGAATTTGTTGGTTGTTATAGAAAAACTGAGTAACGTTACCGTAATTATCCTTTCGAGTTATTAGTCTAGAAACCGATTAATTTACATTATTATGCACCTATTAAAATTTGTTAATATGTTTTGTCACCTGTCTAAGTGATCATAAAAATACTTTACATCAAATCTTCCCCTTTTAGTTGCTCTGACAAGTAAACCTTTGGCGTTGTAATGGAATTTTTCCTCTCTCGCATTTTGTACAACTGACCCTCTATTATCATATTTATACTGACCTTCCCCAAACTTTATTATCCGATCCATTGTATTGTATTCCATTGGAATGGTGTTACCTCTGAAATAATTTTTATGTATAACTAGTTCTTCCCCCTTATCAGTCACTGTCAACTCGAAACTGTTAGTACCGTTGCTTTGAGTGGTCATAATTCACTTTTGTAAACAATTTGTTTAATCACTTTCTTTGTGTTAGATTGTTTGAAAAATTAAATTTAAAGGAATTGTTTGTAAATGGGTATGCAACACATCGTACACCCCGCATAAGAAATTGCTGATACTAACTACATAATACTACTTTGCCCTGTGCTGACAGCATCCATAATTTCTTTTATATATAATATTATAAAGATCTTTTGGGATATCGATATACTTCTAACATACCTGTATGTTAGAGACAACATATTTCCATTATCATCGTATCTAAATCCCCATGGTTCTTGAGCTTCTACGCCTGACAATTGTCCATCGCAATCCCATGTGTAGTTTTTAATATTCGTATACGTGTTTACCCCAACATTTTTCGTGTATGTGCGTGTTTGAGATATTCGCCTACAATTTCATTATTGTGCGTTAATAAAGTAATTAACATATGACGACAACGATATAATATATTGCCTTACCCGTGCATATCATGATTAAATTCCATTCTAAAAACCTCCATTCCATGTATTGTTAAGGAGATTTGCTTTTCAAGGAAATGAGAGTCTATTTTTCTAGAAAATAAGGCTGTACCGTCGTAAACATTAGTCTGATTTATAGCAGGATTGTCGACTGTGAATGTGCCAATAATTTGCAAGGAGCCAGTTTTAATGTTGTAGGCTAAATTGTATGGAGGGAGATTTTGACCACCTATACGACCTTGAATAGATGTGACCCTGTAGTTGCTATCATAGTCATATGTAAATTTGGCATTGCTTAATCCAGATTTGGCTGTAAAAGTCAACCTTTCTTCCATTAGTAATCCGCCAATAAACTGGTAGTCCCAAAAATATTCTAATTCTGCCTCTACATTTACTACTTGTACCGGTAAACCAGTTTCTGGAGAGTAACTATATGTGGTTTTACCATCTCCTCTGACAACTTCTTTGATTCGACCCAAAGGTGTGTACCTATATACGACTCTTGCTCCATCGCCCGGGAAAACCGTTTGTAAAAGTAGTCCAGAATGTGAAAAATGTTGCAGATATGATTTGTTACTTCCCGGAGGAGTGTATGTAGCTCGCAGGAATCCCAGTGAAGGCTGAAGACTGAATATGTGTTTAGTTCCGCTTGGTAACGTAACATATCTTAGACCACCATCATCGTCGTAAGTTAATAGAAAACTTCTTTGACTAGCTAATGTTATTTTGGAAAGTACATTCCAGTCATTATAAGTAAACATTTGCGTACCGTCTTGAGAACTAGTTACTTCTGATAGTAATCCGTGACGATCGTAACTGTATTTTAATTCCGATCGACCCCATTTCCATCCGTCGATACGATTAAATCCGTCGTAGCTGATATTGACAGGTAAAGCATTCGTTGCTGGTATGTATGCTTGAGGTAAACCGGCGGGATCAAATGTGATTGACAACAGAAGATGACCGTTACAGTCGAAAAACGATTCCCTGCTTGTAAATTGGTCAAATTCAATTGCAAACACTCGAGAATTGTTAACGAATATTTCAGTTCTTAGTTTTTGTTGAGGAAGTTTAGCGTCACCAGCTAATGAATATTTCGTATACTGATGATTTATAATGTCCTCTCCAAAGATACTTATTTGATCTGACCAAATTGGTAACATCTGAGTTTCAACTGGTAATGTGGGTTCAAGTAATGGATGTCTTTCAATAGCAGACATTCGTATTTTCCCTCCCCAGGCAGCGCTGACAAGAAGGGTTGAATTTTTATATATAATGGACTTCATTGTTTCTAAATCTGTAAAATAAATCTGTAAATTTTTGCGTGAATATTAAAATTAACTTACCATTTGAAATTACAACTTGTTTGTTAATTTTTTCACTGTATGTTAAAACCAACGGAGGGTTGCTAACTGATGTTGCAAGTCCCTCAGTGCCTGAGAGACTCGACCGTAAACTGAAGATTTCTCCACTTGGCAAAGTAATGCTGATTACCCTTCCAATCCAATCATATTGGTAAATACAAGTTTCTCCGCCACCCGATCGGCTCACTAAAAGCCCTGTGTTCATATCATAATCCAATTGAATTTCAGATCTTCCCTTGACTGACAATTTTTCCAAATATCCGACTCCGGATATTTTTAATTCCGATTTGTGATCTTGAGTATTTTCAATTGAACTTACAGCGTTACTGTAATCCCTCAAAAATTGAATTTTGTTGCCAGAGCTATCGGTAACAGTAGACAACTTTCCAAAGCTGGTATTTTTTGAGTAGAGGAAGGAATATCGAGTTTTTCCTGATGTAAGATCTCTTGTTGCAACATGTTGACCGTATCTATTAAAGACATAAACTTCCCCTTGAGATGGGTAAGGAATCTGAAACTCTCCGTTTTCATCATGCGTTGGCAAATAATGCTGTAACATTAAAATTCGTAGAGAACCCTGATCTGCAATATTTAAAACTCCATTGGGTGATACTGTTATAGCAGATATTGCTTGAAATTTGGCATCACTCGAAAGCAGCGTTTTAGAGAAGTTAACGTTGTTGTTATTGACTGAACACGGACAGCCTGAAAATATTTTGGCCTTTTTAATGGAACGACTATTGTTACAAGCACAACTACTATCTAATTTATTATGCACTTTCCCAGCAAAGTGTATAACTTGTCCTGATGTTTTAATAAGTTTAATAACGTTACTCTTGCGTGTATCGCTTTCAGCAATATATAAGTCGCCATTCGGCGCAAAAGAAAGAGATAAAATTGTTCCTAGAACGCTATCGTTTTCATATGAAGAAGATGAGTTGTCTGTGGACCTGCAGTGCAAGGGAATTCCTGCTACAACTCTAATTTTCATATCTTGCGTCAGTTCAAGTACGAGACGGTCATCAACTATATGTAAAGCGCCATCTAGAGGACTTAAAGCTAATCCGGTAGGCCACTGTAATTGAGCCTAAAAACAAATTAGTGTTTATTTTATATATTCAGGAACAATTAATGTGAGTTTGCATTACTTGGGAGGCAATAACAGCCCCTGCACATGGAGTAGGCATCCATTGGTTTTGGTATTCATGATTTCCTACCAATGTGTGAATTATACCTCTGGGATCTACCCCTCTTATGTTAGTACCATCGGCGATATACATTGTCCTATCTGCAGCAATCGCTATTCCTTTTGGATGAGCTAAGCGTGCGTGTTTGGCAGGACCTTCATCACCACACTGACTTTCATCTCCAGGTATACATCTTTCACCACTCCCAACAACCTTCAAATATACCATTTATAGCTGAATATAAAAATTTTTAAATTTGCTTACCGGTTCGCTGTTCACAGTTGGATCAGCAGTAGGATCTAAAGTAATTATTCTCAAAATTTGATGTTTTTCAGGGTCAGAGATATACAATCGCCCGTCAGCAGGTGAAACAGCCAAATAATATTGGTAAGATACCTGCGTTGCTCTAAAATATATCATTATAACTTTAAACGTGCCATTTATGACAAATATTTGCCCACCTTAATTGTAAAACAGTATAAACACCTCCCTCTGGATTGATTCTTCGCACTAAGTTAAAGTCCCCAACATACAAACTTCCATCCGGACCGCTTGCAAGAGCAACGGGCGTTAATAATTTTGCATCTTTTGCTGAACCTCCACACTGACCAGGACATTCTAGCGTTCTTTGAGCTCCAGTGCCCATTACAACTTCTACAGTTCTAGGATACTCCTTCAGATGTACTGTGGAACCATCCCCTTTCTGCAGAATTCCTTCATGGAAATTGTAATGATGATGAATATCCAAACCCCAGCCTCCGATATCAGATATATCAACTTCAAAACCTTGTAATGCAGCTGTTTGAGTTTCCCATACTGGCTCAATACAGGTGGAGTGTTGATACCCAATTGAAACCTTAGCCTGAGCCAGACCATATACTTTCTGTTTATACACATTTCTTTTATTCCAAGCAAAAATATGTGTTAAATTTGGATCAGCTTCGTATGTTTTGACATGCAGAGACCCTTCCACTTCTACTCTTACATGTATATGGGTTAAAGTATTTGGTATACTATCATCTGTTAGTTTCATGTGAATGGTGCTAAAAAATCCTGCTGCTTGAGATGATCGATACATCAAATGAAGATCTGAGCCAGGTATCGATATGGACTCTTGGACCACCTGGTTTTCAGCAAATATTATACTTTTGCCAGGAAAACCACCAACAGCTTCTGGGATCCATGTGCCAGTTATTATTGGTTTTAATAATTCAAGGTCGTGATCAGGACATGTTACTGGCACATCTCCATTGAAATGAAAAAATGGTCTTGAAACTCCTTGAAACATTATAGCCGGATTGCGAGCAAGGAAGCTTAAAAAATTTAATTAGTTTTTCTTGAGTAGGTACTTGAAAATTTATCTTACAAGTTTCATAAAAAGATTCACAAAAGAATAAACTAAAAGTACCTTGTGTGTGATTGCTCAACTTTAGCATCTTCCATTAACTCCATATGTACTGGGGGTAAAACTACAATTTGATTCCAAGGAACAAACACGGTCCTGGTGAGGGGTCGAAAAGGTGATCTTTGAAACTGTAATGTCACTGCTCCTCCACCATTAACCAATACATCAAACCTATACATATTTATATATATATATATATATTTATGAAGAAAATATAAAATTAGGATAAAATCGCTTTTTATTTACTAAAGGAATAATATCCTTAACAGTTTCAATTTTAGTCTTCCTAAAATAAAATTAGAAGTACATATGTAATAATTGTAAACATTATAACTGTAGTAAATAAATAGCATGTTTTTAGAATACAAACTTGATGTATTAACTTCTAAATAAATTAACTTGCTTTTAGACGTTTTAAGACATTTATTGTTATAATTTAATTATGTAAATAATTTTTTTTACGTAATTATAACCTAAAATTTGATGCAACGAAGTATACCGACCAACAGCACCGAGGGATACTGACGTAGGAATGCAGTTGCATTGTTTATAATAGCTTCGATCCATTTGATTGGCTATTGCGTTGTCGGCCATTTTTATTAAAACTAGGTCAAGTTCAGCACATTGCACTTACAAGGCGGATATAAACAAACAGGCGCCACTTCACTTGTAGTTGTAGTACAAAGAAACAAGGGAAACTTTAAAAATGAATAACTCCGTTATTTTTTAATCGATTTAGTTGCAGTTTTCATTATAATTTACGAAATTAAGTAATGCTCAGCACTGATAGGAAAAGAATACTTTAAATACAAATTCTCAATTTGAAACAACGCTCTACATTTTTCATTACGTTTATGTTAATTAAATATGAATTTAGATAATCGCTAGGGGTTACTCTATAAGGATCCCACAGTAAATAGACATTTGAAGGCATAAAGACTTGTCTCTGCCTTCTTATTACATAATTAATAGATGTTAGTATGACACTTAAATTATTAATCAACAAATAAGTTGATAAGTGTAGAAAAAGCAGAAAACAGCACTAGCTGATTCCGTCATTATAGTTGCACGTGTTAATTAAAAAGTATGAATTTCAACGGTTTTTTAAAAGTAATACCTAATTCAATACAATTCATCTACTTAATGGACGTTTTTTACGAAAACCCAATGTTTTAATAATAAGTGGTGCAAATCGAATGGATTGATATTTAATTCTGGTGTTACGTGTTTGTTTGCAGTGAAATTTACATGCAATTAGTCGTACCTACATATTCTTTGTATATATTTGTTGTATATCAAATTGTTTCGCGATAAAGCTATTAGCTCAAGTCCCGTTACGTTTCTAAAGAGACGTTTACCGAATAAGATTTTGCGATTAACAATTCCGAACAAATGAGAAGAGAAGCAACTAAATTATTAGAGAAATTGGATTTAGTTCTCTTGCTGTTGTTCTTCTGCTTCGTTCTACAGCATGTATTAACANCAGATAAGTACCGAATTTCTGAATTCATCGAAAATCAAAATAAAAACAACTAAAAAGTTCAAATTAAAATAATCGGAACGCGCAGTTATTGGGAGAGTGGACCGCAAATTAAATTTTACTTTCACTTGACAAAATGTTTTGTCAAAACGGAAATCAAGTTTAAAACTAAATGAATGAAATACATAAATGCAAGTGTCCTTTCACTTATCTACATTGCTAGTGTTCATTACTACTTTTAGAATACTGTTATCAATAACTATTTGTAAAATCACCAAGAGCACACACAATTTTGGGTTTAATGGGAGAGGGTTTAGAATTGGAAGTTTTTCACAGTACGTGTACCTTTAAAATCGCAATTTTAAATATAAAAGTACAACCATACGCTTTTTAACAACACCAATAATTTTTTTACAGACTTGGTTTCTATACTTTTTACTGACAACTGGGATGACTTTGGGACAGGATGAACATCAAACCCGTTTGGAAGATATTGAGAATGAAAATTTGATTAGTGAAAGAAGATCGTCATCTGACTTCAGTAATGCTAAAAGTAATTCTGTATCATTTACCACATCCAAACCAATATCACCTCAACTTCAATTTGGCTTCACCCCTATAAAGGAATATTTTACATCGTCAACAGAAAGTCCCAATCCTTCCTTAAATAGTCTACCAAATTATCAAAATCGGGGACAAATTTTATTCAATAGCTACCAACCACAGTAAGAATTATCCTTTAATCATTTTAATACCTAATTGTAATAGAAATTATCATTTATTTTAAATTTCAGAACTGCCCAACGATATCAAACACAATCCTATCAACAACCACAACAACAGACCTATCAATATCAAATACAACCACAACGACAAAATAATCAATACCCATCACAACAACCACAAAACTATAATATTCAAGAAAGTAATCCTGTTGAATATTTACAACCTCAGGCACAAGCCCTCCAAGCTACTCAAGTAGTGTATCAAAGTGAAATAGGTAAAGCAGACCAGTATGCTCAGGTTGTTCCTCAATACAGCACTCTGCCACAACAATATCAAAGTGTTACACCTTCCCAAGTTACTCAACAAAAACAGCAAGAATTTTCCCAATACAGCACGTTTCCACAACAACAGCAAGATATGCAAACTTATCAGAATGAGCAGTCATCTAAATCACCAGCTTTTCAAGAGAATCAACAATTATCCCAATTCAATATTGTACAACAGGGTAAATTGACTTCTCAAACTGTACTACCTTCCAAAGAAGTGCAGTACCAGCAAGAGGCTCTTCAATATCAGGACAGTATTGGATCATTACAGAAACCCGGAGGTTCTAATCAAGTTCATGTACAGGACATAAGTTCTCTTCAATATTTACAACCGCAGTTGCATGGATTGGAGGGTGTACCTTACTTTGGAAATGGTCAAGTAGGTTCAGGCTTCCTGAACTCCTTCCAGGACGTCTTCAGGTTAGTAAAGATTAAATCAAAAACATTATTGGAACAGATATTATTGCTGGCTGCAAATATGTACAAATTTCGTCTCATTAAGCTGAATTCATAATTTTATATATATAACGTTATAAATATCCAGATATTTAGGTATCTAGATTTTGCCATTCAACCATATCAATCAACTGACAATAAAAGAGATGATAAGGATAAAGTGTTAATCTCTTTATTCTTTTTTATTATTAAAGTCTTTAGTGTTAATATGTTTAACCAAGAACCCACAGTTCTAGTGAATGTTTTTGTCATACTTCAGTGGCAATACCAACAATTCAGTATTTGTTAAATTCAAGTTTCGATAAATCGATGGTATATAAGAATTTTTATTGGACGTTTGGCCCATCATTGTAGTTAGTGTGGCGTGATTAGCTTGATCACATTTGGCTAAAATAAGTAGATATTCGGACTCATGACTATATCATATGAAGTAATATAAATATTCTTGCTAATGAATGATCCAAATAGTTACTATATAAATTTTAATAGATCTAGTTTAGGCACACTTACTTGTTTTCCAAGCTATTGTTGGAAGTAGTTCTTTCACTGATTTTCCTTGTTATACCATACTTAAAACGCTCTTCTGTGAATGCTGCCATCCTTCGTCTTAGACCCAGCTCCCTTTGAAGCACACGATTATTTTTTTTGGCATTATGTATACGTAACACCCACTCGTTAATACAATTTCGACTTTATGTCCGCTACACTTGCATCCCGGATTTTCACACAAATATGTAGAATACGTTGACGCTGATTTAAGAATTATTAATGAATATAATAAGAATGAAAAAACCTTCGGATCTGTATTTCTAAATCGTTACGATTAAAATAAAAGATGTAACAACCGACGCCATTAAACCACTGATCACCATTGATTGCTTCATAGACTAATTACATTAAATTACCATAGATACATACATCATAGATATACAAATATAGATTTATCTATAGTTTAGATCATAGATAATATGGATTTATCTATGATGTAGATCATAGATAATACTGATTTATCTATGAATAGATATATAGACAGGTGTCACTACTTCTATTAAGAGTGTTGCATATGAACTACCGAAAAATTGTGCTAATTAATTATGGTTAACTGGCGGGCTTTTTATTTAAATAATAAAATAAATAATATGTTTAGTATCTTATTATTTATATTTTTTTTGCAGTCACAATTTGTTTTATCAACCACAAACATCTGCATCGACGGCAATTAATAGTTACGTTCAGCCACAAGGACCTCTGCAGTATTTCACCTATTTACCTGGTAATGTTATCGAGAATTCGCCAAAAGGATTTGCTCAGCCTGGAGGAAATGTAGCGCATGTAAAAGTTATTTCACAAAATCCTCTATTTATTCAAAATACAAAGGCACGTTACGATTCACCCAGCATTCGACAATCAAATGGTTCAAAAAAATACGTTAAATACACGAATGCAGAACATTCGCAAAAAAATCCGCAGAAGTTTGTAAATTCCGCAAAAAATCATGTTAGATTTCAAAATCCTCATAATGTCCCTGCAAGACGACCGACTTCTTTATTAGATTCTTATGTTCCTTCTTCGGTACAAGTTCAATACTTTAAAGATTTTCAATTAAAACAACAGCAAGAGCAACAACTACAACATCTCCCTTTTCCCTTTACGCTAGAAAACACAAATACATTAGAATATTTCAACGAACATAAACATGCATATATGCATTCGATACCTTCTATAATATACAATTTCGTAACATATTTCCAACATCATTTTCACCGATATCGTTTTGCTACGTTTTAAATAGATATTCGTTTTATCACATGTTGGCTTAAATGACACACAGAGTGAACGAATTTCTTTCCACTGAAACTTAATCAGATGTATGTATAGACACCTACGTGCTTGTCTTATCTTACCCATGAATATTTGATAAATCTCGCAGATTCAAATTCAAAGATTAGTTACAAGAGAAGATAACAAAATATATATTTCAAACATTTCTTTCTACCAATTACCACAAAACTTTATATACCGTAAAGTAAACCAATAAACTTGTATGACGTACCTTTTGCCACGCATTACCTCTGATTTTTTTTAAAAATTGTAAAAAAATCATATAGTTAAAAATAGAAGAAAACCCTAAGGTGTTTCAGTAATTGATTCACAAGAATGATCTAAGTCATTATCATAAGGTCGTCAGTCCCAAGACTGGCTGGACATGCACCTCCACTCTTTCCTATCTTGAGCTGATCTTCGCATTTCCCTAAAACTAGCAAAAAAAAAAACTTTTGGGTGTTTTATTCCCACCAGCCAGTAATGCTGGTGGGCGGGCAGTCTCTCCGGACTATGCCGGAAGGTAGGGCGGAAGGCCCTCTTCAG